TTTTGATTGGTCAAAATTATTTTATTTTCCAGTGTTTTTTATATATATATATATATATATATATATATATATATATATATATATATATATATAACAGAACTTATGAATGGAGCCTCACTGATTTTTGTTATTTTTCAGTCATAAATAAGTAGGCAAACTTTCGGCATTTTCTGGCTGTGTTCAGTGTTTTCTTTTTCTTCCTCTTTTTATTTAAGGGTTGCCTTCTCATTAGTTGAGTGAGAAATATAGAAAGAGACATTTAGAGAGAGAGAGAAAGAGATAAGGCTTTTAAAGGAAAGCACAAATCTTTATTTTAATCTGAATTCTTTTTATTATTCTTCTTCCTCTTTATTTAAGGGTTGCCCTCTTTTTAGTTGAGAGAGAGAAAGAAAGAAATAGGTAAGGTTTTAAAGGAAAGCACAAAACCTTATTTTAATTTGAATTCTTTTTATTTTTGTTTATATATTTTAAGTTTTTTTATTTTTGTTCATAATTATAAAATGAAAAAGAATATACACTACGAGCAACTAAAAAATTCACTGAATATTTTTCTTGTTCTTGATCTTCCATTATCTCATTTATATCCAAAAATAAATGTTATTTTGTCTGAAGTATAATTTGAAGGTTAATGACCCTTAAAACTAGAGAAAATACCAAAATATTTATTGTTTGCGGGGGATATTTATATTGTATTCTTGAATGCAACCCAGGTTATTCCCTTTTAGCCTCTGTTATATGTGTGTGTGTGTGTGTGTGTGTGTGTGTGTGTAGGTATGTAGAAAAATAGGAAAGAACATGTTAGGTAAATAATCCAGAGTTCTTTAGTATTTTTGTTTTTATTTTTAAAAAACAGTGCTCCATACAGAAGTAGAGCTTAGGGTTAGGGGTTAGGTAATAAATCTTCATAGAACAGATAGAAAAATTTTTTACATTAATAAAGATCATTCATTTATGCAAAATATTAAACAACTAAAAACAGTTACCTATACAAAGGTATGTCTTTGTTCCACTGAGGTAGCACACGTGCAATAGAATCTCTCATTTGTGGATGATGCCCCAAATAAAAATATGTATCATGTGCAAATTTCAGTGCAAGAATGTCTTTCGGTTTTTCAGCTAATATGTCTTCCCATATGATAGAAGCTTTTGTCATGTAGCTGAAAGTAAAACAAAATAATAAAATTCCAAGAGTAAGTTACAAAAAAAAAAACAAAAAAAAAAAAACAACATAAGACAGACATCAATCATTGTAAGAGGATGTTCAAATCATATCAGAAGGGTACCAATTATAATGGGGTGACTTTTAGTTGTAGCTGGATGGTCAAATCATGTCAGAATAACCAATGTATTATTACACAAATCAAAGGCTTATTGCCATATCATGTTGAAACACCAGTTCTCGTATGATCACCAATATCAAGTCTGGTCAGTACCTAGCTGGGTGATTGCTTGGGAATACCAGGTGCTTTAAGCTTATATGTTCAGGTGCTGTAATGGCTCAGAATTGGAAATTGGAGAGCCATGTACCAATTCCAGTTGGGTTTATTATATTTACTTACATGCAAATACCCTTGGGAAAGGTATGAACCCACCACTTGTCCCCAACTATGGGTTAATTAGTAGGACTTGTATCAGTAAATAATTATTATCTCCCAAAAATTCATACAATCCAAAAATATTTTCTGGCTTTAAATAACCTACAAAAGGTTGATAAACTGTTAAAAAAAAAAAAAAAAAAAAAAAAGCCAAATCAATCAATCAATCAATGCCCAAATCAGAATAATGTATATTATTTACATTCAGACATTACAACATTTTAATCAATGTGTCCTTCAGCCTTTCTGGATTAGTAGACACCTGAAGAAGGCTGGAAAGAACAACAATGAAAACATTGTGATAATAACCACAAAGATGAGGATATTAGTCCAAATGTAAATAATAAGATAAGACCTCCATCCAGCAATTCAAACAAAAATCATAAGCAATGAAAAATGTCAAATGAAATAGATTGTCGGATAAATGAAATGAACTACCACTAACCATACAAAAAAAAAAAAAAAAAAAAAAACTTGTCTTCATCTAAAAGTTGATGCTGTGTATATAACCAGGTTGGAAAGGAATCCTTTTAGAGATGAAAACAACTGATTTGACAAAGTATTGCTAAAGATGCATTGGCTGTAACAATCAATAAAATAAAAATTATCCATAATTAGTTATCAGAAAGAGTAAATCATTTGATCAGGATAACATAGGACTATATTTCTTTAATGACCAGGAAAAAAAATTGATATATCTTGGCAGGGAAATTTTCATTCATACACCAGTCATTTCACTTTGGGATTACCATTTATCCCAGTATTTACAGAATTGTCTTAATAAAAAAAAAAATAAAAAAAAAGATGCCAACTCTCTTGAAGATTGCAAAAAAAATACAGAACAGCTCTTTACTGAGAAAGCTTCTGAGAGGATGGAATTATGAAGTTGCCCAAAAGGTGGCAACAGATCAAAAGGGGAAATATGTTGTTCAGTAAAATGAATGTCAAAAAGAAAAAGTCTTATCTTTACTTAAATAAATGAACAAACATTTGAGTCAACCCAATACAAAAAATGAAAGATTGATTGATTCATTCATTTTCTATGCCCTATTAACCCTTTTCAGGCTACTTAAAGTCAAAAAATGTTTTTAAATTGGAATATTTTTGCGGGGGGAGATAATAATGATTTAGTGATACAAGTCTTACCAATTAACCCATAGCTAGGGGGAGAAGCAGTGGATTCATAGCTTTCCCAAGGGTATCTACATGTACAGTGCAACCTTGGTTCTTGAATATCTCACATGTTGAACAAATCCGTTTTTGAACAGAAAAATTGAGATGAAAATGCCTCAGTTTTCAAACAAAATTTTAGTTCTCTAACAACATTGCTAAACCAAGTTAACTTAAATGGAATAATTTCCAAGTCGACCGCTGTGTTGTATACATTCGTGTGCTGTGGTGTGCTGTTTTTTTTACAATTTTATTGTACTGTGACTTTTTTCTTTACATTGATTCTTATTGGAAAAATAGTTTCCGTTTATGAACGGCCTTCAGGAACAAATTAAATTTGTGAACTGAGGTTCCACTATAAGTGAATATAACGAACCCAACTCTCCAATTAATGATTCCAGGTGATTATCCCTTACACCACCTGGTATTCCCAAGCAGTCACCCATCTAGGTACTGACTAGGCTTGATGTTGCTTAACTTTAATGATCATACAGGAGCCACTGTTTCAACATGTAGCTGTAAGCAAGAAATGAAAGAGAAGAGACAAGAAACCAGATATTGTCATAGATAAATTCAATATTGGAGAGGGAGGTGCTGAAAACTGGTTAGCTCAACCTACTTCCCAAAATTTGATCAAACAGAATTTATTTGAAAGGGCTTCTTGGTCAGACCAAGAACTTTTCAGTACTCCCTCATATTTAACTTTACCAAAGTAAAAGATATTTTAACCAAGTTTCTTGGGGATTACAATATCATTAAAATATAAAGCTCTTCTTTCATTATAAACAAATAAAAATTATTGAACACAAACTTCACAATATATGCAAATTTCTATGAAATTTAATAGTGAACTTACCCTTTAGACCACTGATGCATTGCCTGCACATGTTTCTTTTCCCAATCTGTGACCATTGGTTGTTCTGACAGGGTCAGCATTGAGTCAATATCAGCTTTTAATTCAGTGTCCAGCTGAGGATTACGTCCAGTGCCAAGAAGCTCAAGACCATTCTTTAGAACATGGCCCATAACTTTTGCATAAAAAAAGCAATTTAATAACAAAGATTTGTATTGTACTTTCTTATATAGGGTTTAAAACTTTTGATGAAAGAAATTCTGATAAATTTTTTAATCAACATTAATTGAAAGAATTTAGTTGACAATGATGATTTTCTAAAAACTTTAAAATTTCAAAGAAAGAAAGTAAAAGGAAAAAGGGGAAAAAAGAGGTGAAAGAAAGGAAAAAGGAGAGAAAAAGAGGTGAAAGAAAAGAAAAAGGAGAGAAAAAGAGGTGAAAGAAAAGAAAAAGGAGAGAAAAAGAGGTGAAAGAAAGGAAAAAGGAGGAGAAAAGAGGTGAAAGAAAAAAGGAGGAAAAAGAAGAGAAAAAAGGAGGAAAAAGAAAAGAAAAAAGGAGGAAAAAGAGGAGAAAAAAGAAAAAAGGAGGAAAAAGAGAAAGAAAAGAAAAAGAGGAAAAAGAGAGAAAGAAAAGAAAAAGAGGAAAAAGAGAGAAAGAAAAGAAAAAGGAGGAAAAAGGGAGAAAGAAAAGAAAAAAGGAGGAAAAGAAGGAGGAAAGAAAGAAAGAAAGAAAAAGGAGAGAGGGAAAGAATAGAAAGGAGAAAGAAGGAAAGGAAGAGAGAAGGGAAAGAATGAAAAAGAAGAGAGAAAAAAGAAATGGGAGTGAGATAAAGAAAATGGAGGAGGGGAAGAGAGAGAGAAATAAAGAAAGAGGGAGTATGAAAAAAAGAGGGAGAGAAAGAGAAAGTAACAAAAACTAAAAGATAAAAAAATAGAAAAGGGTGACAGCGAACTGATTTTCTGTGTCTAAATAATAAAGCACATTATAATAAGAGCATATAAAGAAATGTGGTGTAAATTGTGAAGTGCTAGTAGCGTTTAGTAAACCAATGCAGCTTTGGTGTATACTAGATTCCCATGAGTAGATAAGTTGACTTTAAGAGAAAAAGACTTTCTTCTATTTTTAACCAGAATGTGCATTAAGATACTGATAAATTCTCAACCTGACCAAGAAGACCTACCCCAAAAAAAAAAAAAAAAAATATATTACTGATTATTTTCTCAGACTTTGGGAAGTGATTGAGGCAGAGAACTTTTCAGCATTCCCCCCTTGCTTTTCATTCAATGTATATTCTGCCCAGGAACTTCCAATGGAAGTTGTTTTATTTCTGTTTCATATAAAAAAAAAAAATGAAAAGAATTTTTACTCTTAGAATGAATACTCACTAAAGCTTGGGTCAGCAGACATCATTTTAGAAATGGATCCTTCAATTCCACCAACAGAATCATCATCATACCAGCCAACATACTAACCAAAATAAATTCATGTTACAAGGCATAAATTAAAAACCATAAGACTTTATTAAAGAATTACCTGTTTATATATAACGATGCTGTTATCAGTTGGATTTATTAAACAAATATCATATTTTTCTGTATTTACCTAAAAAGTTAATGTCAAAATTTGATTATTTTATGTCAAAATTTTTTATACACCAAGGTTATTAATAATTTATACACACACAAAATATACAGTATATAATATAAAATAATATACTATAATAGGAGGCTGAAAACAGCCGCATCTAAAAGGTATAAACACTAAAAAGTGCAAGTACAAATATACAAAATAGAAGATGTAGAGCAAAAATATTTAAAAAAAACACTAAAAAGCAGGCAGTCTACCTTACTACCCAGGTTTCGACCACAAGGTATCTTCAGGCAAGTAGAAAGATGAACAATCTAGTATATTCCACCAACTTATATGACCACAAGAAAAAAGAGAATGAAAGGTGTAAAGGGGGAGGGGAAAAGGGAGAGAAGAGGAGGGAGAGGGGAGGAGGAAAATAATTTATTCATCATATTCATCCAGGTTCATACATACTTAAAAGATATTTATTTAAATGCCAGCACTTTGACAAAATTTCAGTTCTCTCATTCAGTAGCACATTAGGATAGGTAGCGATAGCCAACTTCTCTTCTTGACACAGTCAGCAGCAGTTACCACGGATTCTGCTTGGCTTTACCTTTCCTATTATACTACACTTTACACATGGACTTCTGCTACACATATCTATGAACCCCCAAATACAATCCACAAGTTTGGTATAACTTCTGTGGCTTTCTAGCTTAAATGAGGTAGGCATGGTTATAAAACATCTTTTTAAAAAGGAACTTCACTACAACCAATGTATATCCTCTTGAAACCATTACTGTCACTGACTTCTGCAGAATAAGTGATTCCCTCTGCACAACACTCACAGCTTAATGGGCAATTATATTTATCCCTACAGTTTTTATATATTAACAAAGTAACAAACTACAAATACACAAATGTAGTAATAATAATAATAAACAACAAATACTAAACAATGAGTAAAAGTGAAACATTATAAATCAGCTCCAAATAACTGCATTATTGAAATTTGTAACCTGGGGTTATTTTTTCATATATTACTAATAATTATACACTTCAGATTATAAATTTTTAAAAATTTATAAACAATTTCTTACACCAAATAAAAAATACGTTGTATAAATTAATGTTTTGACATCTTTCGCATATATGAATATCCATTTAATTTTTACCTTTAATCTTTAACAATCTGCATTATTAATATTACTTCCCTTTCATTCTTTTTCAAGGCCACTCAATTGCAGTAACCTTATTGTTAATTTCACTCAAAGGTGTTTTCTGTTGCCATAGAAGGATATGACAACACAACTCAAGGATCAGTGTCACCTTCAGTGGTAGGATAAACTTTTTGAACAGCAAATGAAGTCACAGAGTGATAAAGATTAAAATAGAAGGGAAACAATTAAAAATCTAAATCATATAAAGACTTCACCTATACTCAGCATCTGTTAGCGTTTATATCTTGGGAATTTTTGCTCAAAGTTTTATTATTATTCAAATGTGAAAAGGCAAATATAAAAACTGGATAATGTTTATGTAGAAACCATTAAAAAAAAAAAAAAAGACTTCCTTTCAGTTAACAGAAATACACATATTTACATTGTTCGGACTGTTGACCACATCTTTATTGTCATATTCATGTGGAATGTGGCATGGCATGTGGAATGAGAACAATCTACCCCAATGGATTAAAAATGTATATCACTTGAAGAAGGTCGGAGTGTACAATGGCCGAAACATTGTTTTGGTTCATTTTACAGCATATCAACCGCAATGAGTTATTTAATGCCAACAAAGTTTTTATTGCTGGTAATATTTTTTTTTTTCAAAAATTTATTGCTGGTAATAATTTTTTATCAAGTATTTCTGGTATTAAAATTTTTACATTTTCATAGTGTTTTGACCCCAGTTTGAGGTTTAACTATTTACCCATAGTTGGAACCATAACAGATGCTACCACCCCAGGTCTGGGTGGACCTGGGAACACCAGTAATTAAGAGGTTGTTCCACACTCCTCAAAACCTCCTGATCAGAGGCCTTGCTGTTGGATGTAGTTTATCGTCTTACCCAAGACAGCCGAAATGAACATGACAATAAAAGATGAGGACAACACTACTTACAATGTAAATATTTACAATACCTCTTCTCAGAAATATAGACAGATATAGAAATATACATGTTCATGCAAAAAAGATAAATTCTAGTTTATTTAAATTGTAAGAAACTCACCTGAGTTACTGTGGCATCAAACATTTTACATGCTTCATCTGAAGGTGTTGACAATGGCAATTTTAATGCCTCCCAAGCCTTAGAAAAAAAATAATAAAATAAAAAATAAAATAAAGAATAAAAGAAGGAAAAGAATTGTTGTTTTTAGCTTTTTAATGATATTAGCACTTACAGAAATAGTCATAAGAAATCCAATAAGTTCTGAGAGCAAACATAGCTGGGGTGTAGAAAGGATGGATTTATACCTTTCCTAGGATATTTCTGTAAAAGTGAAATGCATTTCCTGCACAATTGTAATTGTATATGCATGATGAAACTTATATTCAACATTAAATAACTCAACAAGGATTGATATGTCACTAAATTAACCAACTTAACCTAAACATAATGAACTTCGATCCACTATAAATAAATTTTATATTTTACAAAATCATAAATATTATTTTGGCTTAGTAGCAATTATTATAGGCCACCTTTTCCTTGTGGATTTTAGTGGAAGTTAAAATCTGCATGGCTGTAGCCAAAAATAGATATTATGTAGACTACCACGGAACCAATGAAAATTGCTTATATAAAAATGAGCAGTAAAACCCTTCTTTCTCTTCTTTTTACAAACATTGGTAACAAGGCTCAGCCTCTTTTTCATCATTTTGTCCTGATGCAGCCTTCACAACCAAGACACATTTCATCATCTTGAAGAAAAGACTTATACAATTGTTCATTTTGCAGTACATTGGCCCAGAGAGAGCAAGAACCTTCCTACTTTGTAGCAGACAGTTGTTTTGATTAGTTCTACAAATGAAAGGGTAGATAGAACCAACCTTGAAGCCCTCTTTTCCTGGGTTTATATTAAGGCCAGAAAGTGATTGGGGAATGCAGTGAGTGTCAGTAGGATTGTCCTTTACTTTGGCACAGGGTTTTTGATCTTTTGTCTTGCTTATCCAAGTATCTGTTTTCAGAAACAAGGTTTAGCTAATTGACCTGTCTTTAAGAATGTCAGTGTTAATGCTAATGAGATCTTAATGAGATGACAAGTAGGTGATACTTTTCAGGGAATTTTAGAAATGGTTTTATTTTATTTATTAAATTTAGCCCACTAATACAAAGTATTGGCAACAACTCAAGAGGAGTTACTAGTTGTTTGTGTGTCTGTTTATAAAATTTTATAGAAGCTTCAGAGAGAGAGAGAGAGAGAGAGAGAGAGAGAGAAATAATAAAAACTCTTTAGCACTGCATTCTGAGTGGTTAGAAAATAAATACATTTTCTGGTTTAAACATCAAAATTTTTACTTATAATTTGATAATGCTCTTTGAATCCAAATAATTTTTAATAATTTGTATAGTCATTCGTTGCTTGACCTTTGAAGAGTGATCATGATAACAGGACATGATAACATGATGACTAAACATATAAAAGGGAGAAAAGATTAAATGAATATGGTAGGCTCAGTATAGAATTGTTTATCATAAATGGAGATTAGCTTAAGAGATTAACTTGTTAATTCTTGCTTCATGACAAATTAACAAGAACAGAAATATTAACCATAACTGATGCAATCAGCTTCTGCCCATTGTCTAAACTGTAGAAGAGGCAGCTCTTTAAGGCCCCCCCTCCTCCATTTGATGCTTCTAGGCTTCACTTATCATTGACTGCAATAGACATATAAGATCCTCTTAAATCTTCATTTATAAAGCCAAAACATGTATAAAAAAGTATCTGTTTTCTGTATATGGACAAACCAGTTTGAGTACAAAAACCAAAACAAAAAAAAAAAACAAAAAAACAAAAAACAATAAAATAATAAAAATAAATACATTTTTTCCCCAGGATGCTAGTAATAAAAGGAACCAGAAAGTGTTTTCTATCAATCTGCACAATTTTATGTCCCCCACTTCTGGAAAAGGACAGAACTTCCACCTATGAAGTTAGTACGATTTTTACTTTGGTGGTTCCAACTCAGCACAAAGCTGACTAGAGCATGACCATTATAACCATTCTTACCTTAACTTCTAGACTAGAAAAGGAAAACTGGCATACCCAAGAGGCAGTGAGAATTTTGTTTCCTTGCAGTTACTATAAAAATAGAACAAATAGTCTGTAGCAGAAACCCAAGTTTTTCTTGCTTCTTCTTTAATTGTTTATGTGAACACACACACACACACCTACAAGACACAAATGTGCAACTTTAAATTCCATAACTATTATGCACATACTATACATGATTGGTGTTGCTGAAAGTAGATCTTGATATGCACAAATAATGAGAATAACAAAGATATTGTAAAATAAACATTCCTTACTTATCTATTTCCTTTCTTTCACTTTGGTATTATATTATGTAGGACTATTTTATAATTTTATATAACTTGATTTTGAGAGTTTTAGCAATTTACCATAATAGGTAATCATTCTGTCATTATAACCAATTGAGACTCAGGCCTTAGTCTCAGAGACAGGTACTTCAGCAAATATATATCAGTGGTGACCCCAAGGGTCAGTTTTGTCAGGCTTAGCCTGATTTCAAAGCAACAAAAATCTTTCATAGGGTGTTGTTTTCATTCTTGACTTCAGCTGGATCCAAAATTAATGTTTTTAACTCCATGCCTCAAAATATTGACCTAAAAACATTTTGTTGATATTGTTCATAGAAGAATGAAAGAAAAAAAAACAAAAAAAAAAACAAAAAAGGAAGTAAAAAATGAATGAAATAAAAAGTTGGGCTGTGTAGATCTGAGCCCTATCAGGCTGCAGATAATAGGCAATGAATTTCTCACTTTAATTTTATAAATAATCTTTTAAAAAAATCTCTAATGACTTGCATGAACTGTTTTTCAAAGAACATTTTTATTTCAACTTATTGTTTTCAAATGTCCATTTTAAATAATTTATTCCATACAAGGTTTTCAGTGGAATATATCAATTGAAAAAGGGTAAATTAAATTTAGTCAGACTTAAAGTCAGTGAAAATCAAAGAAAGTGGCAGCCTTAACTCATAGACTGGAGGGTTGGGGTGTGGAGTGTGACTGGTAAAATATTGAGGAAATATATCAGTCAACTATTCCTATCTCTGGCATTAGTAACTTGATAACCAGACTATAAAACAATAAAAAAATGGAAAGGGAACAATAAACAGAAAATCAAAGACTTGGTCTTCATTCTTTTTTTCTTACAAGTCTGGAAATTTTTTTTTTAAATAAATTATTAATATTAAAATACCAAAATGTGTTTTTTTTAATTTCATGCACAGAGATTTTTAAAAATTATATATTTTAGTTAGAGTAAAGAAATCATTTTAGCATCTAAGTTATAGCAATAGCATATTTTGTTAAAGATTGTAATGAGCCCCACAAACATTAATCACCTAAATACCAGAAAAAAAGAGCACAATGCTTTGAGCTCTTTTTTTTTTCTGGTGTGCCTCTAAGGCAGACTCTTAAGAGCTGCTTACTTTTTCATATTATATGTTCCATCATGGGGGACTTTGACAACTGTATTGTTCAGCACTATTTTGCTTTTAACAGTAAACTCCTTTGCTGAGGTCCTACTGCTCTCCATGTTATCGAGCACTCTTTCAGAACACCTAGGAACATTTCATGCTTTTTTTTTCTTAAGAAATTGCGAATTTATGGCTTTTCCATCCTGGCTGGATAGGTATTTTTCTTTCTTACCTCTGTGAGTTTAGTTAGTGTGTGCATTTTCAAACCTATATATAAGTTCTGTAAATTAATATCAACCGTCTCTGTGAAGACAGAAGGGGTCTGCATCATTTTTGCTTAATTTTTTCCAAAACAAAGTTACTATTGTACATTAATTCTTTCAACCCAGTTTCTTTATCTTTTTTATAGTTTTCATGTTTCAACCACTTCACCCTTTGGCTTTCAATAAGTGTTTATGGCATTCAGTTTTGTTGCATCAATAAGTTTATAGGTCAATGATAAAAAAAAAAAAAAAAAAAAGCAATTATTTTACACAATGTACTTATTTTTCAACAGTCTTCTTCCTTTGTTAATAAACTTAACCCAGGACTTTTAAATTAATCACAGTGAAAAAGTGAACATTTTAGATCAAAATTTAAAAAAACTTTCAGGCAACAGATTTGTTGATTTACCCACATAACTATAAATTTAAAGAAAATGGAATTCAAGATTGATTTGTTCAATGTATAAATTCTGTAAACTTAATTCTTTTAAAAATGTTTTTGTTTTCTGAGTTACAGGTTTATTTACAAGCTTTTCTATTATGAGCTTGAGTTACTTCCATTTTAGATCATCAGATCTACAGCTTTTGTTTGTGCCTGGCTTTATATTTCTTTTTAGAAATGAGAAAGGAAAGAAAAGACTAGAACAGATGAACACTTGTTTGGACAAGTGTTCATCAATATCCACAGCTGAATATTGATTTAAAATGTTCATTGTAGAATGTTTAATTTATGTGATTAAATATTTACTATGGAATTAAGTTTATCAATAAGAAAAGGCATTAAGTTGAAAATGAAATATTTGATGAGTAGAATAAGTGCTTTATTAGGTTATTAGTGTTTTTTGCAGCACACAAAGATGCTCAAGTTTCCCATACTAATTTATGGTCACTCATTAACACACACAAAAAAATTTTAAACAAAATGTTAAAGTTTCTAAAAAGGATTAAAATAATATACAGTGTAACCCGGATATAAGAGAGATTTTCTCTGGTCCCAAATTAGAGCCTGTGTTAATGTATATAAAATAGACCAAACCCGGATATAAGAGAGATTTTCTCTGGTCCCAAATTAGAGCCTGTGTTAATGTATATAAAAATAGACCAAACCCGGATATAAGAGAGATTTTCTCTGGTCCCAAATTAGAGCCTGTGTTAATGTATATAAAATAGACCAAACCCGGATATAAGAGACTTCTTCTCCGGTCCCGACAACTCTCTTATATCCGGGTTACACTGTAATTTAATAAAATTCTTTGGTCTTTCCTCTTAATAATAAGAAAGATTTTACCTATAAAAGTTAAACTTTGTCTTTATTGCTTGAGGCATTTTTTCATCATATATGGTCATTTTTTAGTGAATTTTTGGAGGTATATATACC